CGACGCTCTTCTGCTGCACTTGGCCGCGCGCCTGCATGCGAAGATATGCAAGGCCGCTCGGAAGCGCCCGTCATACGAGGTCGCCAAGATCACCGAGACGCTTGCCCATACGAGCTACATTGCCAGCGACGAGCTCGACACCGCGACGCAGCGCATTGTGTGCTTGCTACAGGCCGAGCCCGGCGTGACGCTAAACGCTGCCGGAAACCTCTTGCTTTTGGACACGGACAAGCTCCGACTCGTCGATGACAGCGACGCGCCATTGGCGTCGACTACAGATGGCAACGAGGTAGTGAACGCGCTCGTGCGGCGTCTGGCGTGTCAGATTCCTCTCCTTCCGCGTCCCCAGATCGCTATTGCCATGATGACCAAGAAAGCAGTTGCGAGCTGCACGGGCATCACGGCTGGCCAGGCCAAGCGGGGTATCGTTGAAGGCCTCATCCAGCTCGGATGCTTTCAGAAGGTTACCAACGCAGATGGCATCGGGTGCATCGCGATCGACGCGGCGTGTCTCCAGCGCCCCGTGACCGCGTTTCCCGACCTCAGTTTTCTGCAGCAGCTTCCGTCTGCACCAACCGCGGACCGCTGGCCGCCAACTCCTCGACGATCAACACACGAGCCGGCTCTTTGCACTGCGGCAAGCGCATCTCGCGGCGAAGGAGGCACGCTCTACGACGCGCTGATCGAGCATTTTGTTGTGCACGTGCACGGTGCCGTGTACGCGGAGATGAGCAAGAAGCAAAAACACTTCAAGGTCAAGAAGATCACTACGCTGCTCCGAAAGGCCGGCTACGTGAGCAATATTCCGCGCACGGCCCAGCAGGTTCTGCAATGCGTCCTGCGCGACCGCTGCCTCACCTGCGTCGACGGTACAGCCATCGTGGCCGTGCGTGCCAGCCCCTTTTCGTTGCCGGCCGCAATGCGCCACGGCGTGACGGCCCTCGTGCAGACGTGGGCGGCAAAGATTGCGATCGCTCCGCACGAAATGGCAAGCCTTCGAGCGCAGCTTCACAAGGCCGAGGCTATCGAAGGGTTGCCAGGCATGGCCGAGCAAGCACTCGACGCTTTGTGTGCTCTTCGGTGCATGACCACTGTCCGAAACCGCAAGTCCGCACTCTGCCTCGGCATCGACCCGTCGCTTGTCCATCAGTCGTTGGCTTTGTTCCCGGACGCGTCGTTTCTGCGTTCCACGGAGTCGGTCGCGGCGCTCTCCCCTACAGCGTCCTCTCCTTCGCTGCCGCTTTGTCACCCAACACCGTCACCCGTCCTGGTCTCTCCCGCTCCGCCCAGAGAAGGCGTGGATGAATACAGTACAAGCGCATGCCACTCGAGGTTCGAGAACACGCTCGGCGACGTGCTTCTCTACGCACTTGCCGATCACATTCGTCGTCTAGCGTACGATGCGATCCGCGGGGCAAAGGCCCGGTACAACTTTTCAGCCAAAGTACCGCTGCTCCTGCGTGCGACGCGCTACATACCGCCGGCCTCGTACACGGACACGCGCAAGGCGCTCCTCGATCTACTGCTGCGCGACGAGAACTTGGTGTTTGTCAAGCCCCTCTTTGTCGTCTCGCGGGATCAACGCTTGCTGCCGCTGCTGCCGCCGGCGCGCCATTGGACGTCTGAAGCAACGCCTGCTGCCATGCTTCATGGGCTGGTGACAGCGCTGGCGATTGCACCCATCGCCATGACAGGCATAGCGAGAGCTGCGACGTCGACGCTTGTGGTTCGTGGCGTCCACGACGTCGCGACGGTCGTGCCCAAGCTCATTGCGGACCTCATGCAGCTCGAATACGTCGTGGCCACACAAGACAAGGGCCGGGAAATCTACTTGACGATCGATATGGCGTGCCTTCATCGGCCAGCAGACGACTTTGCCATCGTGCCAGCACCCGAGTCGTGGCTCGTACACAGCGCGACCGCACCGACGCCGTATGTCACTGCAGCAACCTCCTCAGTGCCACCGACACCAGAGGCACATGACGCACCGATGTCCCCGTCGTCCAGCTTGTCGAGCAGTGCGCAAGAGAGCGTCGGGTCGCCTGCATCGTCGTCTCCGCTGTCTGCATCGTCAGCATCGTCGCCACCTCGGTCGGTGCCGTTGCCATTGGAGCCGCTGGACGGTGTGGGGTCCGTGGTCCAGACGCACCACGACTCGTTCTTGCCCGCGATTCTGGCGTGGGTTCGCGACGACAACCCGTTTTACGTCTCGTACGTTCGCGGGCAAGTCCGTTCCATCCTCTCGAAGGACGAGGATCTGGACGCTGCGGTTGAGGCCGTCGTGACGTCGTTGACGCAGCATCCAGAGCTTATCTACTACAACACTGATCGACCGTGCTTTGTCGGCAAAGGTTGTGCTCCACCAGATGACGTTGTCGTACAAGCGCCTCCGCCAGGGACCTCGGTCGACGACGACGACGACGCCGACGACGACGAAAGCTGCAGCGACATCTCGGCAGGTATGGTCTTT